GAAATGTCAGGACATTTCCTTAAGAGAAACAGCGTGTGTGAAAGGGAGAGTGTAGTGAAATCCAAGCAACAAGCCCAGAGAGGAAATGCAGTACCCGAGTTTGGGTCACCTGCTTCCTAGTCCAGGATTTGCTTATTTCCTACCGGTCTCTACAGACCGACAGAGGAGAAGTTACCAGCAGGGGCTCTGGAGTCACAGAATCTGGGTTTGCATTTTAACTCTGCCCAAGACCTTGGCCAACTCACGTAACTTTTTAAACTTCATTTTCCTCTTCTCCGACCTACCCTACCATGATTCTTAGGAGGATTAAATGAATATGGCAGCAGTTTAAATGGAAAATGAACAAATGAGATCACTGTGTAGGTATTTAATGCAACATTGCTGTTAATATTAGCGAGGCGTTGGAAGCCGGCTCGGTACAGCTGCTGGTCACGCGAGGTGAATGTCCCTATAGATACCGTGCATTGTAATTCCTTAGGCAGGTACAGGGAACAGAACTTATTCCAATCGTAGCTCATCTGATCTTCAGAATGGCACTTTAAAAGTGGCTACATCTTAGAGATAGGAAAGCAGAGGCTGAGATGTGTCAAATTACTTCTCTAAGGTTAAATAGGACAGTGACGATTTGGATCCAGTTTTCTCGATTCCCAGCCCACAGCTATAATTTGTCTGCATTTCCTCGGCTGAGAGTGACTGGAGGACAGATACGAACCAGAGGATCAATGCACAGCCAGAGATGTATATATATCTTAGAGTAGACACCCATCTCCCAAACGCAAGACACCCCACTTACATCCTTGGAAAATTGCCATCTAGACAGACTAGGCGTGGTTCATAGAACATTCAAGTTGGATCAGGTGGAGTTGGGTGGGGGGAGGAAGGGAGGAGATAGCTATTTCTAGTGGCGAGAATCACGCATGGTACTGACTTTGAAAATATTTCTCTGCAGGTTGCCTAGTTCTCATTTGAGAAGAAGGGATAGAGAGGCCAATGTAGGACCCAGACATTGTAGGTCCTGGGGTGCAGCTCTGCCAACCTGTGTAACATAGCTCTGCGGCTGCCTTGTGCAAAAGTGCATGGCTGTGCCTAAATCTTTGGGGGAGCATGCTCAGCTCCCAGGAAGTGTGTCCTAAGGCATAAAATTGAACTATATGCCACATGTAGGCATATGCATATATCTCCACATACCACCAACACCTTCAACCATTAGGACGTACTGGTTTAGGCTCTGAGACTTAAGCTTTCCTCCTTAATTTTCACTGAAGGTGCACAACTGAGGAACCAGAGAGGCTGTCTTGCAATTCGATTGCCCCTTTTCTGGGGGGAGGGATGACCAACTATTCTAAGGGAGGAGGCAAGGGATGACGATGACCAGGACTGCTGTGCTTCAGTCAGTGACAGGGGTCCCTCCTCTACCTCAGGAGTCGACACAGTGCTCATAAAAGGGAGGTATGTTTTATGACATAATGGCACGTGATATCCATTCTAGAACATTCTGAGGTCTAGCTGTGAACACTAGATCCAGGGCAAAAAGACAGAGTCATTGTCTAAGCAAGGATATTTGATAGTGAATGAGGCTAAAAGCACCTGGTAACTAACTCCGTCAGTGGGGGCTCCTTCTTCTTGTCCCTTCCTACAATGCTCACGTCATCCTGTGTATCTTTATGTAGCCTGGTTCTGTATGGTTCCATGTTCAAAGATGCCCAGTCTAACCAGCCAAGAGGAATACAAAAGAATCTTAACTTTTCCTTGCATCACTTCCAAACTATATGAGAATCCCAAATGAATCACCCCCTAACATCCCATATCTCTTCCTGCCTCTCATTTTTCAAGGACCCCCCCCCCCCGCCCCCATTACAAAGCAAAACCAAGCAGCAGCAACAAACATCTCTCAGGCCTTATTGATATTTTTCTCTCTTCCTGTCTCTTTTTTCTCTCTTCCCCTTTCTCTTTCTTCCTCCCCCCCTCCAGTTCTTTGAATGTAAGTTAACTTAGCGTCTTCCTTAAGCCCCCTCCCCTCACCCTTGTCTCTCAAGCCCATTCTCTTCCTTCTTTCTAGTTCTATGTCACAGAATAAACCCTTGAGAGGAAGGGACTCTCTTTTCAGAGTGGCAAGGAAGCCCCCAGGCCAATGATGGTGAATCCTTTGAGTGAGAAACTGGAGATCTCTTCTAATGTTTACTGGAAGCCTTTGTGGCTGTAGCTTTAGGGAGTCTTTGAGTCCACTGAATCAATTAGGAGGAGAATAAAAATTGAAAGCAACTGTGCCCTGCATGAGGAGGGCATGGAGAAGACCCAGGCAAGCTCGGGCTGGGGGGTGGCAGGTGTTTGACGTCTGAGAACTCGAGCGTCCAGAACTGTAGGCGATAATGGGGCACTGCTGACACTAAGATCTGAGCTGTGATGATTAGGCTATTACTTGGGAGTTTATTTACTTTAGTACTTCTTCCTGTTAAGTAGACACAGACAGCACTCTGGCCAGGAGGAAGTTAGCAATAGACTCTATTGATCAATAACGTTTACCCATATTTCTATATGGGGTTGGGATCTTCAGAGGTGAAGGGTTTTACCACCTCTTTTGCTGTCCTTTGACACAGGAAGACATTGTAGATTAGTGGAAAGGGTGCAGGCTTATGTTGAATCCTGTGGTTCTCAACCTTCCTAATGCTGCAGCCCTTTAATACAAGTCCTGTGGGTCGTGACCCACAGGTTGAGAACTGCTGGTTTAATTCTTTTGCTCCCCACCTTTCCCTTTCCTCTCCACCCTTCTATACATTATTTATATCAACTAAGTCAGTAATCTGTCCTATTTTCTCCAGCAGATACTGTCTGGGTACATGCTGATTGGCATCCTCCTCCCAACACCACAGTAACGCCTGAGTTCTCCCTCTGTGGTGGTCAGACGATGCTGCCTGTGGCTCGGGTCTGATGGACCGTTCTGATAGACTGGAGAGATGATGAAGATCCTCAGAGCAGGTTAAAATGACACAAAGGACTCACTTCACAGTTGCTCCCACCCTGGAAACACAAAGCCCTTTCCTCCCTCCCCCAAAGTCACACATTTCAGAAATAGCTGCCGAGAGAGAAGTGAAATTTCTTCCCAGGCTCACAGACGATGGTGACGTGGGTTAAGCCAGGCTTTAGAAAGAGCAAAATTGGAAGCGTATATCTGACTTACAAATCAGTGGCAAAGAATGAGAAAATTTCACGTCTATCAAAGAGATATTCAATTCCATTAAGTTGGATACTTTTTTCCCAGGTAGACAATCCCAAACACACCTCTGCCTCTAACGCTTTGAAAGTAACACGTCAACGACCTTCCACGTGCAAGGTGCTTACCAGACCTGGAGAGATCTGCCTCATGAGCTAGGAGGTGCCTAGTCACTGAGGCATATAATATGCCACGTTTTGTTGATGATGACAGTGATATGACAACACTGGGCTGTCCTTAATCCTTTGAGGACTCTTCACCCCCCCATATTAATACAGCACCTTCTCTTCTCCCTGGGTCTCTCCAACCAGAAAAGCAACAGCTGCACAAAAACCTTAACGCTTAGGCCATTCTGCTGGGAGTAGAGGCAAGCCGTGATCCTGTTAGACCAAAGATGTCGAGAAAGGATGTCTGCCCACAAGCTGCCCTGGCTGGAGGGAGGACAGGCTCCAAACAGATTTAAAACAGACTAGTGAGAGAAAGACAGAGGGACTTTGTGGTGCCTACATGGCTAAGAGAAGGCCGACTGCCTGTGTAGGAAGAACCCCCATATCTCTGAATCCTTGGTGACTGGAAATGGGGACAGTGCTTTTTTAAAATTTTATTTTCTGCATTTATATTCATGTGGCTTCTAAGGCGGAAGCTGCAACTAGTCTTGGGGGAATTCTGTCCCTTTGTTCTGGGCAGGGGAGCAAGTTTCATGTGCATTTTTTTTCTTCTTCAGATGGAAGCAAGTCCCTGGCCCTAGTTCTTGGGGTTACCCTGAACTCTGTGCATAACCAAACCCAGAGCTTCAGGCTGAGATATTAGTTTGGTTAGTAGGGTAGGGGGTCCCTTTCACTGGGGGTAGAGTACATTATAGCACATATTATAATATGGGTAAATGCTTTGTTTGCTCTGGATGGGGGAGTGGGGAGGAAGAGTCAAGGTTGGGGCCCTGGTATTGGGATCAGGAAGACGCACAGGTAGGAAGTTGGCCTGGTAACACGGTGGCAGACAGGGTCTAAGGAGAGGCAGTCAGTAGGACTCCCCTTTAGAGGAATAACCAGTGTCCCTGAAGGTCTTTGTGTTTCCTTTCACACTCCGTAGTTCCCGTGTGCTGTCCTTAAGCCTGTGAACATCTCATAAGCAGAAGAGCTGGTGTAGTAAGTGCCAGTGTAGGAGTCTGTACCCTTCCTTTCATGAGCAACCTAACTGGCAACCCCCCCACATGTTAGTTGGCCAGAGGTAGCCAGGTGACAAGCAGCAATGACCCAGCTGGGAAGATTTTGTAGGGCATGGAGTCAGAAGGAGCCTGGAGCAGGACAGTCCCTGGGGACCCTTAAACCATTATGGGCTTTTTCTCTCATGCAGTGAGCAGCTTGGGAGGCTGTTACTTGGCCGATGGAAATCAGGGCTGAATGGAGGTGAAAAGAACAAAGCACTCCCTCCCTGCAACTGGGCTCTCCACGTCCCTGGGGCTCCCCGGCCATCTTGATGATGGGACTGACCACAGCAGAAGACTCACTTCATGATACACAGAATCCATTGCCCATCAAGGTGGCCCAGCTGGAGAGATCACTGGCCCTTTAGAAACCGGCCATCTCAGGGCCACTTGATGACCAGGCAGCACACATCCTTCAGATACCAACATGATAAGCTACAGTATTTTCAAGCATTTCAGGAACACAGCAACCAAATCAGAAGGTCCTGGCAGGACAGTGATCCACAGAGTAACAACATGGCCACAAGGCAGTGTTAGGGCCCCCCCGGGGTCAGCAGAGTCTTTGGGGCAGCGGCAGAGACTCACCTCCTTTTGATGGTGAGCATCACGCCCAGGAGAATGATGATGAACATGAGGAGGCCCGCGATCACGCCAGCCATCTTCACGGTGTTGTCCACCTGCTTCTCTGGCTCCACGGTGTTAGAATTCTGGGTGGAGGCACCTTGGGGGGGAACAGAGAAAGGGAGAAATGTTGAAAAGGGTCACGCATGTGACGAGCCAAGAAACATAATGACTACGGCTCCCTCTTAGTGAGGGCTAGCTATGAGCCAGGCACTGTGCTAAGAGCATTATATGAACCGTTTCCATTTAATACCTTTTGAGGATTAATCCTTTTGAGGTTGAGATTGTCATTAGATCCTTTTGCAGATGAAGAAACCGACATGCAGAGAAATTAAATAAGTTGCCCAAGGTCTTACCCTCGGAGCATCATTTCCCACCAGTGAGATCAAATGGAGAATTTTTTTTATCTCTTATTGCTTCATCTGTAGGATTATACCATTTGAACTACAGTTCAATTTGGGGGTTCACGGAATTATTCCCCAACCCTGTTTTATTCTTTCAGGTAAACAGTGGAAATAGTAGCCTCATGTTAAGGCAATACAATTAAAATCACTGCATTTTTAAAGTTAAAAATGTTTTTGTTTTATTCCTTACCTAAAAAAAATGGCGGGGTAAAAACTTAGTGTATTAAAGGAAATTGGGTTCCAAAAATGCTTAAATTTGATTAATGCCATTTTTACGTATAAGTCTAATGTAACAGGTTCTAGCAGGTGCTAATTCCCTGACACAGTCCTCAGGAGAGGAAGTCGGGGGACTGGCCACTGACTGTATCTTCAGCCTATGCTGAGTTCATGGTTGTAACTTGGTCAATCCTTGAAACATTTCCAAAGGTCGCAACTGACTGTCCCATTTTAAGGATGAGGAAACCAAGGGAACATGCTAAAAGTCACATCACTGATCAAGGTCAGTTTCTACAGGTTTTCTGCTTTCAAGTTTAGACCTCAGTGTTCAGAAACCTTGAATTCGACTCTCAATTACCGAGTTGCTCAGGTCCACTATCCCTAAAACAACATTTTTTGTGTATGCCACAGCAAAAAAGAGCAGCCAACCAATGCCAGCGCCCAGCCTCCTCATGCTGTGTACCAGGGATCAGAGGCAACTTCTGACTTCAAACACTCTGGAGCAGGCGTCCTCAAACTCCGGCCCACGGGCCACATGCAGCCCGCCTAGGACATTTATCTGGCCCGCTGGGTGTTTTTGCTGCCGCTGCCTGTCCTGCTTAGCAGCCCACTTGTCCCAGGGCCCACAGTCCAGCCCTCCAACGGTCTGAGGGACAGTGAACTGGCCCCGTTTAAAAAGTTTGAGGACCCCTGCTCAAGAGTGGTCTACAGGTTATCAGCATGCCAACAGAATTGCCTTCTGCTTCCCTTCATATCCCACTCCCCACTGTGCCACATTTGGGCAAGGCAGCTGAATGCTCTCATTCCTGCTATTCTGCCACATCCACCTCAGCTCCCTTGTCATCGGGACAGTACACTGTCTCTGTCCTGTGCCCCTGGGAGAGGCTCTCTTTCTCTCTTCTTCTCTAAATTCCGTTAACACTTCATAACATTTCGCACATACCTCCCAATATCTCTTACACCAATGTACCAATATTAGTAGTTATCTATCTCCACATCTGTCTCCTCCTGTGGTCTGCAAGCTTTCCAGGGGCGAGAGATTGTGCCTCATTTATCTTTGTTTTCCCACGTTAGCCCAGAGTCTGGCTGGTAATAAGGGCTCCCTAAATGTTCGTGGTTGTTCCGTGTCTAGCTAAAGGGATGATGTCTCTGCCCACACACATTTGTTCTCATGGAATTAAATTGAGTTTTCTCTCTTTCTCTTTTTTCTGGAAGTCATATGTCTACAGAACTCAGCTGAGTCTTGAGTTTAAGGGATACTGCTGCCCACAAGCTACTGTTCTGATTCCCCAACCTCATTGATGGTTTAGAACAGCCCTCTAGCACACTGATGTGTTCCTTTGTTTTGGCTTAAGAGTAGCAAGTGTTTTCTCTCTCAGAGGACTTTTCCAAGCTGTAGTGACTTAGGCAAGTTGGGGCTTGCTTAGCCATGTCTCCCCAGTGAGAATAGTGAGTCTTACAGAACAGGGGTGCATTCTATTCATCTACCTAATGCCAGCGTCTAGCACAGACCTTCCTCCTAAGAATCATCACTCAACAGACGGTCATGATTTTGATATAAAGGTGAGTGAAGCACACTTGTCCGCTTCATTGATTCATTCAATCATTCATTATTTTGCTATCGAGCACCCAGGTGCTATGTGCCAAACCAAGCTGTCTGTAGGATCTGAGATTCTTCTCCTGGTAGGACTTATAGATGAAGGATTTTACTTATTCTTTTCACAAGCTAAAGGAAAGATCAACTCATCAAATTCCAAGGCTGCCTAGTAGATTCTGCCAATGTATAGCCAAGAGAATTCCTGGGGGAACAGCCACCCACCTCTCCAGCAGGGCTGATTTGATGTTCTGAAGTGGGGGCTGGTTCTGAATAGACCCTATTTAGCCCCCATGTCCTGGTTTGGAGACAATGTACCAAGCATAAAGGAAGCAGAGCACTTCAGATCACAATTTTGTCTATACTGACAGTCTTTTTATGAAGATTTGGAGAAGGGCTGGCTCTGGAGCACTCACTCATTGGCACAGTTAAATTTCACTTAGCACCTGCTATGGAGTCCAAGTCTAGAGACTTGGCACACAAAGGCAAAGGGTCCCCAGAGAAGATCTTATTACTGTAGGAACTCTGTGATCAGCTTGGTCTAAGGAAACTCACATTTCATTCCTTCAATAAAGGTTCACAAGCATCCACTTATGCTAATGCCAGGCATTTGGTGATACAGTGGTGAGCAAAATGGCACAGCTCACGCCCTCAAAGAGTCTACAATTAGCAGAGGGGCATACAGTTAAGAAACCAAGAATCAGTAATAGAGAATTTTCAGCACAGTGAAGGATTTGAGCAGAGAGACACGTGACATTTGCAAAGGGTGTAAAAAGAAAATGAGTCATTGCTGGGAGGAAGTGGTCAGTAGGGTGGACTCCAAGGGAAGACAGGTTAAAAGCAGGCAGAGGGAGCAGGGGAGGAGTATGTACGGGCAGCAGCAGAAGCAGCCTTGTCTAAAGCTGTGCAATGGGGCAGGCACCTGGTGCACTCAAGAAATGAAAGAGGGAAGCTGGAGATGGCACAGGAACCCATCCACACGGAACATTACGGGCCACAATAAACACAGGAGGCCCCAGGCTCCATTCATGGAGCAATAATCCGATCAGATTTGTGTTTCCCACAGATGACTCCAGCTTCAGTGTGGATCCACAGTGGCCTGGGCAGACGAGTGCCGAGACCATCGCAGGAATCCAGGTGGGAGGCGACAGTCGCTTAGACTCAGGTGATAAAGTGATGGTAGAGAGATGTGAAAAAAGCGATAATTACTTAAAAGAAATACCGCTAAAAAATTTCTTTCTGGTGGATTGGCTATGGGGGAAAAAAGAGAAAGAATGATGATCACAAGTCTCTGGTTTGTCTGACAAGGTGGATGACAGTGATGTTTATGGATTCCACAAACTATGGGAAAGAATAGCTGTAAGGGGGACGTGTGTGTATTTGGGGCAATTTGGGCTGAGAGATACTCCAGAAAAGCAGGAAGTTAAAAATGTAGATCTGGAGCCCTGGAAAAATATCTGAGCTGAAGGTAAAAGTGAGTGAAATCATACGTGCACATAGATGGTATTTGAAGCATGGGGGTTGATAAAGTCACCTGGGAGAGAATAAAGAATGATGGCAGAATAAAGGGCCTGGGAGTTCAGGCCACTCTTTCCCCCAAAGTGAACAGTGGCTTAGAATCCAGACTCATCCCAGGTCCAGACCAGAATCCTCACCCAGCTTGTAAGGTGCTACCTGTCTACTCCTACATATGGAAGCTGGTGCCCAAGGCATGGCTCTTGGTTTCTTAAAATATACTCCCTCCTTCAATATTAGCTCTTTACATAGGGTCCAGTTGCTATCTTTTGCCTCTCTACTGCCTCTTCCCTGGTAACAAACAACCATCCTCACCAATTTTCTACAATGAAGGGGAAAGCAGAGCTTCAGACTTGAGGGTCTGAAGTATTTGCTGAGTTGGCAGAGGACGATAAACCTGCACAGGAGACAGGACTGGCCAGACAGGTAAGATGTGAACCTGGGAGACGGCCACATCCTAGAGCCAAGAGGGAGAGATCCATTGTGTCAAATGCTGCTCCCAGGGTAGATGCAAGCTCCATTGCCAAAGGAAAGTGAAGATCTTGGATGAGTATTAGAAGATCTACCCCCCCCCCCTAAAAATTCCAAGATGTTCCTAAATAGAAGCACCTGCAGTGGTGATGATGAACCAACAGCTGCACATGCTTGAGGGCCACAGAGGAACATCCAGGGGATTGAGGGAGGCTGTGTAGGTCAGAGCCCAGTGGTCTGGACAAATTCAATGAGTTCAGCCAACAGGCCTTAGAGCTGAAGTCATGGACTCTACACAGGGAGGTTTTTAGGAGGAGCCATGCTTGGCTGGTCCCACCAGTCTTTTCACAGAGGAATGTGAATATGCCTGGCACATTTATGTTTGACATGGCAAATCCAACTCTTCCACTTTTTCAAGGGGACTTGCTCTCATCTCTGTGGAATTATGTCTCTGTTCATAAAGGAAGGTGCTAGCAGTGTTCCACGGTGATGCAGGGATAATGCACATGGCCCTGGTACTAAAGACCAGACAGCATCCATGTGTGGCTTGATGGACAGAGGGTGGATGGTCCTGCCCCTGTGCCAGAGTCAGGACTGTGTCCCCAGGCTCACACTGTAAGTGCCCAGTGGAGCAGGGTGTGAGACTGAGGCAGCAGCTACAGGGAAGCATATCAGGCGTGGTCTCTACAGGGCCTCCTGGCCATGTGACGGGCTTTCCACAGATGCCAGCACTGGGTCCATGTAGGAAGCTGCCCTTCTGACTTAGTAGCCCCCAAACCCAAGCAGGCTTTTTTGAAGGGTAGAACTGGAAGCCTTTAAGTGAGATGGTGGCTGGATTGCTCCCACCCCAAGTGCACCCTTTTCATCAGGGTCAGCCTTAGCATGAATCCCTGTTGCCAA